GCACAATGGATAGTTCGATGTATGAATTCAACACAGTGCAATCGGGATGGAAAGATTGATAAGACATAATGGAGAAATCTAATTTCTTGATAAAAAAAGTCCGTCTTTGCTTAATATCATGACTCTTTCCTAGATGACACTATGATATATTTGACAAATTTTGCCTCTATTTTCTAAATTTTGAGAACTGAAAACTCAATTTTAGGGATTTAACCACGAAGTTTACAAAAATTTTCATTAACTCAAAGGTGGAAGAGATTGCAACATGAAGAAACAAGAAAAGTTCGCTTATAGAGACCAAATTGTGGACCAATAACAAGAACAAGATTGATTTCAAAAAATGTTATGTAGCTCTGAGACCCCGGTTTGCGGAGAGGCTTAAATGAATTGATTTGGTCACATATGTCAACAAAGTGCACTTCTCTTTTTGGTCAAGGGTCCTGAGAGAACTCCATAGTTAATGTGCTTTTGCTGGAGTAGTCAAACGATGGGTGACCTTCGAGGAAGTGTTTGTCGGAACTGTGTGACTGAGGCAAAACAAATGAAAAGATCATGTGGTGATTAGTAGGGTTGGTAATCGATGCATTGTTTGCCAATAAATGACGTTAGAAGTTTGGTTCATCAATCACATGAAGGTGATTGGTGCATTGGTTAGCCCGAATGGCCTGACAAGCCACTCATTGAGACCTTACTTAGTCTTGAAGGTGCTTGTCCATTCGTCTCCTTCTCTTATTCGAACATGGTGATAGCCACTCCTAAATTCGATTTTGGAAAAGATGACTACACCACTTTGCTCGTCAAACATGTCCTCTAATTGATGGTGATATTGTTAATTGCTCGTCACTCCACACACATCCTCTATGTACCAAGAGAACCGGTACAACACACGAGCTAAGTCTCTTTGATGTCTATGGTATTTAATGATTTTTGAACATTGTTTCTAGGAAAATTTTATGCATTTTCAATCATATTTAGTGTGTTTAGGTAGCATTTTGCATATGTTGAGTCTTATTAGGTACTTGGA